CGGGCTCCCGGGCGCCTCGGAACGCGCCGTGTGTCCCCGCCCAGGGGTGCAAGCGAGGTCGGGCCCCGGTCTGCTCTCCTGTCCGGCCCGCCCCGGTCGCTGAGGTTTGGCACCAGGCAGCGGGCCTAGGCCCAGCTGGGCGTGCGGCGTGTGGAGCTGGGCGATAAGATCGCCCTGGCTGTGCAGCAGCGTGCGCCGAGCTCTCTGCCTCTCTGCCAGGAAGGGCTTGGCTGCCGGGACGTTTTTTGCACCGTGTTACAGTGAAGCGACGAGAGTGCAAGAGACGCTGAAGTGCTCATAGTTGAGTCAGTGCCTTAGAACTGCCCATGCTGCGTATTTTTAAATTGGTGTTAAAAAATACTCTGCTCTTTCCTGATATTGTTTAGCCTGGGGAGCTTGACACCTGCAGTAGCTTTTTTAATAGACGAAGGTCAGCGTTAATCATTCAGCTGGTCTTATGTTTGTTTGCTTCTAAAATAATACTTTGGTTTTGATTGAAGCGTGTACTTGGATTAGAAGTAAAGGTCTTTAAATGGGAAAGGTACGTTAGTTTATGATCTTTGCGTGGAAACGGGGATATAAGAAATTATTTTAGAGCTGTAGACTCGTGCTCTTGCCTTCAGTAGACGGTGCAATAACATGAGGTCACTTTCTACTCTGATGTTACATTAAAGCAGGTCAAAGTTTTCCTGTGAGATGTTGATAATGGAGAAGGTCGTTGGACAGGTCTCTTGAGCTGTATTCCCAGCTGTTCAGCAGAAAGGGAGCTGTGCCATTGGCAGACCTTGCTTGCAAGGTTTTAATATTTAAAGGAATGTAACTGCATTTCATGTGGAGTGTAGTAATTATGTGCATTGCTAATTAGGTTGTGTGTGTCTTAAAGCTAGGAACGTGAAAGGGCTGTTTATCTGTTGTGGTCCATTTCTGGACTACCTTAATAACCCCAGAATCTTCTGATTGTATGGTAGGACAAAATTGGCTCCACTTAGGTGGGTCCATCTTTCCCCAAGCATGTAGTCAAATTCTGGTTTTAAAACGTTAAAGCCTTATGTTGCTCTCGAAAGACTAATATTTTAGTATTTTTTTGTGTACTGTGGTTTCAAAGCTGACCTTTTTACTCTTGTAACAACAGCATTAAGAAAACAAGAAAGGCCGCAAATGTCATTGTGAATGTGAAGAAGTCAAATTACCAATGTTAATCTTTGTCATAAATCCACTGTAAGCTATTTAAAATGTTATTTACTGTTTGGCTTAGGAAAGGGGTAATGGAAAAGTAAACCTAAAGCTTCATGTGTGTTCAAGCTGTTGTAAAAGTTTTACTGTTAGTAAAATGGAGAGAGGTCTTGCCCTTGTGTTTTCCTGGTCTTGGCTGCACAGTTCTGTTCCCTACTTTGAGTTTTGGCTTCCTGCTGGATTTTTACTGAGGTGGTGTGGTTTTCTTACACTTAAGTGTTTTTGCTGAGGCATTTCTTAGCTGTTCTAGTGAGTGAAAGTCAGCTCACAAGTGCATCCTAGGTGACATGCAGGAAGTTATGGGAGAAGGGAGCGGAATCCTTTCCCCCATTGGCAGTGGTGCACACAGATAGGTTTCCCATGGAACTGCACCTTTGCCCTTCTTTTTCTTTGTGTTATCTTGGTTACATTCTTCTTTTCTACTTTCAGTGCGAAGAAGGTAACAACTTATTTTTTTTTCTCTTCTTACAGGAAGAGGATGATTGGAAGGAGTTTGAGCAAAAGGAAGAAATCGATTATAGTGGTCTTAGAGTTCAGTCCATGCAAATAAGGTACTACTCTTTTTTTCTTTTCTTTTTCTCTCCAGAGTAATAATTACCTATGTCTAAAAATAATGGTTTTTTTTCTTTATAGCTGCCTGTATGGAATCCAATTAAACGGGGTTTGATATGATTCTGCTAGGGTAGGAGTTTGCTGCACGGAACTGACTGTTCTCTGCAGATGTTTGCTTCATTTTTAAAATCTCTTTTGATACTCTAGGTCTATCTGTTTTGGTCAGGACTCAAATTTTTATTACGAATGTTGAAGATTCCCCTCCATAAAGATAGTAAAGTAGGAATTTTGCTGAGAGGAGTGCAGAATAGCAATTCCCACTTACTCATTTGACTGCTGTAGAGGTATCTGACTCAAATCTATTCCGTTTGGGAAGTGAATTCCTGAACCGTCAAATTTTTATTTCAGAAAACCTCAAAAATACAGTTGGTAATGCCAGTGTCCCATGGCAGGAACCCACAGGACTGCATTTATGAGTCTTTGCATTTTCATTAGGTTGTTCTTGTAGTCTGGTCCAAAGTAAGTCTACTTAAGTCTGTCCTGGTAAAGAAAAACATTCTGTCTGGTCAGAAACAGGATTTTTATGATCTCAGACTGAGAATGTAAAATAATCCTCATTGTCCAGGTGTTGGTGATGTTCAGAATAATGCCATCTTAAAATCATCTTGTGACTAGTTCAGCAGATGCTTTCTTTACTGTTTTAAGTCTTACATATTATTTGATTAATTTTTATTTTTTACACACACACGCAGACCCTCTTTCAGTGAACTTGTCCTTTTAGGCTGTTTGCACTTATTTGGTCCACAAGCTCTCCATACCATTGAAGTGTCACAGCAGATAAACACGTCTGAATGGACAAGTAACAAGTGGGCTGCTGCTTCACTGACTACTCGTACTGTTTGATTGAAAAGTGAGCAGTTTGGTTTTCCAGACAAAGGCTGGCATTCTGAATGCTTTTGATGCTGTGGCAGATTTTCAGGCATGTGAAAGTCTGTGCCACAGGATTTTGTAACCGCTCCGTTAGTGGATTCAAGGGAAGACTGGAGAAGTAAATGGAATTAAAACCCAGTGAGGTTATGAATTCTGCAACTCTGACGATCTCTTTGCTGAAAATAAGGCAGTGTCTGGCAGGGGTGGGACATTATGTTCACTTACTCTATTCTAGCTAACCTGTAGGCATCTGCTTTTGACTAGTTTGAAATAGGGTAGCGATGTGTTTAGGCCCTTGGTCTAGCTTACTGTGGTTATTACTCTTATTTGGATGAACAGTGAAAGGCCTTTTGATTTTCTGAAATTATAGGTATTTTTAACTGTTCTCTGAGTATTACTTGTGCAGAAAGCTTATTTGATCATGATTAGTAGGATTTAGTGTTGTTCCAAATTTCTCCTATATTCACACTTTGCTGCTGCTGTTCAGATCAGTGTCTTGTTTTTTTAACACCCTCCATGTATGTCCCCTTATACCACACAGCTTTCTTTAGTAGCTTTGTCTAACAAATTATTTTTAGTCTCTGACTGCTTCTGTGAAAGATAAAATAATCTAATTAAAATACAGTCAGGTTTTTGCATGCAGTTTATTTTTTAAAAGTGGTGTATTTTTCCATCTGTATTTTTGATTGCCTGCTTTAAAAAAAAAAAAGATCTGAGTTTGTAGGTATGGTAATGTAAGTGGAGTGGGTAATACAAGTATGGGCATGGGTTATAAGTTATGTAAGCTATGTACAGATAATATAAGAGTGTTTCTAAGGTGCTGTGGTTATAGGGAAAGGGAGCTCAGAGCTTGCTTTGTGTCGCTGCTTTTCACATTTCTTCTTTTTGACTGAAGCACTTCAAGGAAGCTGGACTTGTAAGCCTTTCCTGCTTTATATTCTCGTCACTTCCAAATGCGTGACTGTCTTAGTAAGAAGGAAGTCTTTTAGCTCAAGATAAGAAATCAATATATTTGATCACTTAGTACAGTTTGAATTTGTATTTTTTGGGGTATCTTTTTTCCTTCTCTGTTGCCAAGTTACATAACTGTGCCAGAAGTTGTTCAGGTGGAAGTACTAATGCAGTGGTTACAGGACTAATGTCGCCTAGTTAAATCGAGTGTCTTCAGTGCAGTAACCATGAGTGAAGTCTCGTCTGTGGTGATTGTGGTATCTCTGGCAAGTCTTAAACTGCAGTTTATAAAATGCAACTTACCTTTTTTTTTTTTTTTTGTAATAGTGAAAAAGAAGATGATGAAAGTGAAAAAAGAGAAGAACCTGGTGAAAATTGGGAGGAGACTGGTGGTGTTGTAGACAGATCATCTGGTCCTTGGAACAAGTCGGCTCCTGCTCCAGCACCTGTCATTGAACCGACTGGTAAATTTAACTCAGAGTTGTTGCATTTTCCAGTTGGAAACATATCATGTTGAATTGAGTGGCTCAGAGGGTAGAGCTCAAGGAGCAGTTCCTATTCAGGCACCTTCTGACATATTGATGGCTTGTTTGACATACTAGCAAATGAGGAGAATTTCCTTTGAAGGGAACTGACTTGATAGTACTGTCAGATACTTTAAACATGAGTGGAGTTTTTCTATTTCTGACTGAAAGTGAGGAGGGAAAGCTTTCCATCTTTGAAGGAGATTCCTTTATTTTGCAATCTGCAGAATACCTGTTGGAAGCATTTCTGTTGATCTAAAAATAGTTTTGACCACTATGTGGATGCTCAGCCAACATTTGATATCTAATAAAGCAGTTCTTGAGTAGAGTTCCATGCTTAGTAGTATGCTTTTCAAATCAGTTCTAGGGTACAGAGAACATGACATTGCAAAATTGATTTCTTAACTGGGATAGGACTTCAGGTTTGATTAAATGAGGTTTATTAGCATTCAGCAGAGATAAACTACTTAGCCATGATCTGAGTTCAGGGAATTGTTTTTGAGAAATTCATTGAAAAGTGGCCTGCCGTGTATTTTGTTTGTACAGGCAAGGAGGTAAAGTTAATTAATCAGTGTTGTTTCATTGGTAGATTATTACCTTGAAAATGAAGTATTTGGATATTCCCTTCTGCATTTGGAGAGGTGCTTTAAATAAGATTTGGTTAATACATAATTATGTGTTTAAATTTTTAGTTTCAAATGTAAGCTGCTAATAAATTGCAAATGAAGTTTATTAAACAACCTCATCAGTGGTTTTGATTTGCTGACCTTTGTGAGGCAATACAATGGAGCCATATTTAATTGGACTACTAAGTATAAATTAAATTAGGTGACACCTGATTTCCTGCCTTGTCTGAAATACTTGCTTCCAGAGCTTTAAGAGGTGCAAAAACATACTTGTAAGATTGTTTTCTTCTGTTGTTATTTGGTTCTGTGGTTATTTGGGGAGATTGTTAGTGGGTTTTTTTAGATAGGAATGCCAACTTAAATCTCCTGTCTAAATCTTGTTCTTGTCCCTAGTTACAGAAACCCCTGAACCAGTCCAGACGGGGGGTGTGTACCGGCCGCCTGGCGCCAGGGAGGGCGGCAGGCCACGGAGGGCACAGCAAGGACCACCAGAGATCTATAGTGACACGCAGTTCCCATCACTGCAGTCCACCGCCAAGCTTGTGGACAGCCGGAAGTAAGTACATTCATTCCTTCCCTCAGAGATGGGTTTTAACTGCCTCCTCTGGGTTCTTAGTTTGGCTTAGGGCTTAAGCCTGCATCTTTCCACAGAGGAAAGGAATAGCTAGAAAATGATTGTGTTTGGCGAAGAGGTATAGGAGATGTTTTTACTGTGTTTTCCAACTCTAGGAAAGGCTTCCCATGAGATAATTTTCATAAGACATAGCCCAGTGAGATAGCCAAACAGGACAGCTAGTTACTCCTTTTCTTTGACTTGCTAAAGGATTTCCCTGAAGCAGAATATGTCTGCTCTTGACAGCATCTAGATCCTTGAGGTAGAAGCCATGGTGAGGCTTGGTTTCTAGAGTCAGTAGACTTGAGTAGGGTGTCTTGAGCACACTGCCTTCTCATTAGAGATGTGAAGGTAAATTACATGGAGGGATGGAATTTAACACAAATATAGATAAATAAACTTGCTGTCTTGAGTTGTGCTTTACAATTATGAACTCCCCCATTTTGATGAAGTGTGTTGTATTTTGTGGTGCTGAAGACTTTGAGTCTCACCTTTCTATTGAGTTGTGACATTCCATAACCTCATTCTTTAGAGAAGGAATAGCTAGACCAATACCTAATTCACTTGAGGCTTGGGTTTTTTTTCAGTTGCTGGTTTTTGGGGCTATTTCTTTTTTTTTCCATTTGTTTTTTTTAATGCTTGTTGTGTTACTGACTAATACAGCCTAGCAGAAGCTTTGCTGCTGCTTTTTTGGCATGGCTTTGTCTGCCTGGCAAGTGAGATGTGCTGTTGTTGATGCATTAGAGTGTGAATGGTGCAAAATGAGCTAAGATGAAATTCTGAGTGAGCATTCTAGAAATGGCCTTCTGCTTTCTAAAGCCTATTTTTCATAAATGCACTTAAATGTAATTTTGGGATTGCTAATACTGAAATTTAAAATGTATTCTGAATTGTTACCGGGTGATGATCTTGATTCTGGAGATAAAGTTTTACGATTTGTTTGGGAATGTTTAACTGTTTTGTTAAAACTCTAGATCTTAGTGTTCTATGTTCATAATGTTTTTGTTGGGATGGGGTGGAAATCGACTAGAAATTCTCAGTTCACAAGTCAGTGATAAGATATTTACTGATTACATTTATTTTCCCTTAGGGATAAAGAAATGGAGAAGAGCTTTGAAGTAGTAAAACACAAAACTAGAGGTAGGGATGAGGTCTCAAAAAACCAAGCACTTAAACTTCAGCTAGACAACCAGTATGCTGTGCTTGGAGATCAGTAGAGCTGCATACACATTACAATTAAGGAATGCTTTTTTGGTAACCCTTCTACTAAGGTAACTAAACTACAGCTAACGGCTATGATGAACATGCCACCTTATTTCTGCTGGATCTACTGCAGCAAGTGCAGACTGCTTTGACATAAGTGATTGGTTCTGCTGCACTGTGGAAGCATACTATGTTACAACTTCTCCATTGGATATGGGGCAGATTAATATCAATGATTGAACAAGAGTCATCAGTGTTCTTTAATTGCTCAGAAAGATACCTACAGCCAGTGGTCATTTCAAAATCTTTTTATGTTCAGATACTGAGCCTTCGTAAAGGTTGACTACCTCAGACTTGCTGCACTCATTGTGGATACCATGTGGATCACAACTTCTGGAAGAGAAGGTTACAGCTGTTTTAGTGGCCATCTGAAACTTGAAACCAGCTCTACTGGATTCCTGTCAGAAATCCTGCAGAAGTCAGCCATTTGGTTCCAATTTGCTATAACAAAGATTTAAGTGACCTTAATGACAAACCTATTCCGTTCCCCTTCTGAGGAATCCTGTCATGTGTAGCCGTAGCCTACCAGAGACTCCTGAAGCGTTCCATACCACTCATACTATCCAAGTATAACAGAGCTGTAGTTTGTTTACCTTTTTAGATAGCTGTGCTGAAGTAACTGCAAAACAAATTGAAACTCATTCAGTATCAGATTTGAGGAATTATGGGTTTGAATGATCTGTTTGCATTAGCCATTTTCACAGTTGTCTGTTTAAGCATTTTTTTAAATTGCGTTCTCCACAAAAAAAAAAATGCCTGCCTTGTTTCTGGTATCAAATTGCAGCATATTTAAATAACCATGAGATGTTGTAATGAAATAGGGTCTCTTCTGGTTTTTTGTCATGGGGTTTGTCTTTCTCACCCCTAAAGCACTAAGACTTAAGAGTTCTGATTTGACACAGAGGTATACAGACTCCAACGATGGTCTTGTTGAATTTGCCTTCTAAAAATGAGATACATGGCAGTAGCGACACTAGATAAAAAATTATCCTCTATTAAAAATAGTCGTTGTTGAAGGGTAATGGTTAAATGATAACCAAAATAACTTAGTATACAGAGGGATAACTAAAGCTGGTAACCCTTATTTGGCTACTTCTGTGAAGAATGCAGGCTTTTTGAAGCAGAAATCCTCTAAGTATAGCTCATAAATGGTGTTTATTCAAAGTCAGGAAGTTTAGTATTAAGGGAAGGCAGTGACTTCTAAGTTGTTGTCATCTCTGACTTCGTTTAGTGGAAGCAGGCAAAATAGCCCTGGTACACTAATAATATAGGGCATTGCCCTTAAGTCTGATTTGATGAACAAAAGCTGTCCAGTACCAAAAGTGTCCTGCTGTAACTGTTTTTCTCTTCTCTGAATTCTTAAACCAGAAGCAAAATGAAGTACAATAGTGGCATGCTCCAATGTTGAGGTTTCTCAGAGTAAATGCCAAAAAATAGACCCAACATCTGTAAGAGTTGCCAATGGCAAGAAAAATAAGGGAACAAAACAAAGCTTGCTTATGTGTGTGGGAGTACTGTCTTATGTGCAGAAGATGAAGGTAGTGCAGGAGTTGCCTATTGGTGTACCCTTGGACTAACTGCTGACTCGCTTTAAATCTACTTCTCTGAGGCAAATGGGAATTTTGCTTGTTGACTTCAGTGGGGCTGGGGTTTCACCTGGTTCTTTTGTGCACAGAGTAGAACTGGCCTTGCCCTTGCAGAGTTAACTGTCTGTAAAACTTCTGCTACAAGCTGCTATTAAAGAGAGGGCTCAAGAGACTATTCTTAAAGTTGGAGACTTCATTTGGAAACAAAACCCCACTGAAAGACTGATACCAATACCTTGGACTCTTAGCCATGTATCTTCCTTGAAAGTACATTGTTGCCAGCAAAATCATTGATTTGTTACTAAAGATTTCTGTGGAATTCATGGTAAATGGACATGTCCCTTGATGTGGTAGAAGCTTGAAGTCTTAAAACACTTCCTGATGCTCTAAAGTGATTGTAATCACCAGTGCATGGGAATCAGGTCTACTGTATGAAGGGTAGCTGAGACTGTCCATTGTACTGTCTTTATTTGAGGTTTTGGGCATGAATTCTGGCAGTTCAAGAAAACCCTGTAACAGTTTCAAATCAAATAAAATGGAAATATACATGGATTCTGGAGTCTAATGAATCTTTACCTTTAGTTCTAGCTTGTGACCATACTGAAGAAACAGAACATTTGCATTTCATAAGGGACAGGCTGTGGAGTGGGTAGTCAGCCTTATGGTCAGATGGGCTGTGTTTAACAGCTTACAGAAGTGCATAGTAACATGACTTATTTAGACATAGAAGTTTAGTTTGCTACCTGTCAGTGTGTCTTCTTACTCTCACCATGTAGGACTGGATTGAGATTGTGAATTGAGTATGAATGAAGCTTTGTTTTGCTTTTCACTTGAAAGTAGCTGTGCTAAGTTAAAGTATGAAGAAAACAAACAAAACTTCTGGTTGGTTGCTGTCATCAGAGTCCATCAGATTCTTTTAACTAGATATTTTATTTGGCAGGCTTTCTTAAGTGTATCATTCCATGTTCTTTCTGGAGACGTTAAAGGAAAAAAAAAACAGAAATGCAGCAGAATTCTGTAGTACAGAATGTTGAACTATTTAAAAGTGTTTCTTGTGTTAAATATTGCTGCCATCAACTATCAAAATGCCAGTTGTCAGTATCTTCCTTGTAACAATGAATTGTCTGGCATGCCTGAAATTTTGAAAGTCCTGTGTGGAAGCTCAGTGTGCTTTTGAGACTCTGAAGTCCAACTTTATCTGGTTGTTGTTGCATTCAGTCAAGGCATGCTAAGAATGTCCATTTCATTCCTTCAGAATGCTTGTTGAAGGCTCATGCCATAAATGAAGGATTGTCAGTTGTAGACCTGAGATTCTTGATACCAGTCAGTAAAAGGTGGTTGTGTGCTGCTTCAGGAACTTCCTAACCTGTACCGTGGTTTTATGATGGGTTTGTTATTTCCAATTTCAATGTTCCATTTTACTTTCTCTTGCTTAAAATAAAGACACAGTCATAATGTTACCAACATACTGGTAGAACATGTAAATGTTCAGTACTTATGGGGGAAGGAACAATTTGGATTTGTGGTCCTCAGTGATACAGTCTGTATTTAAGGAATGCTAAAATGCCAAAAGCTAGATAATTTTAATAAAGTTGGACTTTTCAAGTGCCTGCTGTAGGAATCTGGCATCTGTATTTACTTTAGCTGGTGATAAATGTGAGATGGGATTAGTTTTGCCCCCCCCCCCTTCCCTGTTTTTGCTGTGCCACGTTTCATTTTAATGGAATTTTATTTAGGAATTGACAATTAAAAGTGACTATCTCCTGCTACTACAGTTAAGCTAGCTTTACTAGTCATGTCCAAACTAACTCATACAAAATTTAGGAATAGGTGAATTTTTAATGATACAAATTGTGTTAAGAGACCTGACACCACAGGGACCAGGATTTTTGGTATTTGATTGCAACTGTTGGCTCTTAGAAACTCTTTCACCACAACACGGCTGAGACAGCTGTGCTGTTTAGGTCAATATAAGTTTGATAAGGCTGCACATCCTGGAGTTTCTGATCTTTGGCAATAGTTGAATCTTCTTTCTAATTTCAGCCTGGTTGAGCAGTTGCAAGTTGAGCTTGTGGTTTTTCTGTCAAATACCATAACTAAAATGGAGCAGATGATTCTTTTTTAGACTTACTTGGCTTTGTGTGCTTAAAAGGTGCTTGTGTTTTACATGACCAAGTTGTATCAGAGGCCAAAGAAACTCAATTTTACCAAAACCACCTCAAGCACTTACCCTAATGAATAGCCACCATCCAGGTTTCATCACATGACTGTAACTTAGTTCCCAAATTATCTCTTTGTTTTTAACTTCTAATTTCAAAAATTGTTTAAGCAATAAATAGGGGCTTTATTTAAGAATATAAGAAAATAATGTCTAATAATTTCAGATACATAAATTAGGTACATACAAAGTGGGAGGAAATCTGACATATTTTCTGACAAATTCTTCAGAAAAAGTTTAAAAGTCATCTTGTCTATACTGAGGTTAATAGGAGACCCTGCAAGCTCCAGCAGATGGAAGAAGAAATGACAGCTGAAAACAGAACTGAGGAGTCTTAACACTGACTTGAATAAGTTATAACTATCATGTATCTAGAGTTTGGCTTGTGAAAGACCAAGTGTGGTTCCACCGTCTTCTGTTTGAAGTTAAATAGAACAGGAAGGAAGATGTGTAAAAAAAGAGTGGGAATTATGCAAATAAAACACAGAGGATATAAGAAGAGTGCTTAAGAAGGGCATTTTCTAAATCAAGAGTATTAAAAGCATAGCCTGAGGTAGGGATTGTAGTGTAAGTTCTTGGATAAGAGGAGAGGTACTGCATGGGTAAGCACTGCTTTCACAAGTGCAGATGCATCTGCCTTTAAATCGGCAGAAGTGTTTGAAGCACTTGGGGAAGGCATCCCACTTCATCTTTTCCCTGTAAAGCAAAGAATCGGGAAAACCTCTCCAGAGAGAAGGTAAGATTTTGCTTTGGCACAAAGCTGTCTAACCTGTTGACTGAAGGGAGAGCCAAGAAAAGGGCAAACTCAAAGATAGTTCAGCAGTCTTATTAGGAATTAACTTGTTTCATATTTAAGGAAACTTTCACTTCTACATGATAAAAAGCTGAGACACTGATTCAAATTGTTATGAAGACTCCCTTTTTCTGTGAAGCATCTTCTAATGGTATGTATATCATGGTATTGTGTTCAGTTGCTTAGAATATATGTTGATATAGTGATATTAATGAAGATCCACGGGCTGCTTCGCCAGAGCACAAGTATTAAAAATGTATCATAATATTAGTGAATCACCAGAAAAGTAGTCCATCTGGAATACTGGAATGGAAATGATTAAAAGATGAAGCCTATTTTGTAGCAAGAACATAAGATCAAGAGAGTGGGGTTTGGGCTTTGTTTTCCACTGGGCTGCCGTGTTAACTTGAGGTAATTTAGTTTAACTTTGCCTCAGTTTCCCCAGCTGTACCAAAAAGCACCAACAACCTCCCTTACAGGTATTGCGAGGCCAAAGCTGTTCTTGGTCAAGGGCTGGGACTGATGGAAGGTGCCTAAAGATTTCTATTTAAAGATCTTTATATTAGCTTTAATTACAGTATTTTAGTACTACTTTGGGAAAGGCGTATTTCTACAGAATGTAACAATAACATTCTATTTATTCTGTTATTGGACTTACTTTAGTATGTATGGGTAAGGAAAAAGTTCAGGCTGAACACTGAATTGGTATTTCCTCTCTTCAATTATCTGTGCCACTGAAGTGGTATATTAATGAGCATTTTTGTTTTTACATTGAATACATGAGAACAAATATTGCTATATTTTTGTAAACCCCATGACTGAAATAAAACCCTGCTCGCAGTGGATAGCCATGTCTTGTAATGTGGCTGCTTTCGTGTTTGTTCAAATCATGTGAACCAGGAGTGTTCACTCTTGAAGGTAGAGATCTGTGCTAGGATACTGAGTGGTATTTTGTAGTAGAAATGTAGTTTTCTTCCCCTCTTCATGTGCAGACACACGTTTGTCCTACTCTTTATCCTTTCCCCTATTTAAATTGAAGTAGCACACAGGTACAATGGAAAGATGGGAGAGGTTAATCTTCAAAGCTTTTATAATCTGGTACTAAGGCAGGCTGTGGAGGAAAAATATTAAGGGAAATAGTTGCCCATTAAGAGATTTCTGTGAAACAGGTAAAGAAATGATCAGAAGGTAAGGCTTAGAGAGATAAATAGAGGGAGAGGAAGGAATAGATACAGAAGAGGTGATTACCCTATTTGCTGTTATCTCCTGTTTTATCAGTTAACTGCGGCTGAAGGAACACAAATAGTTTCTATGAATATGCCCCTGTCTGCTGTTGCTGGTGATTTC